CAAAATATAAATTGTTACTAATCGCCTCCTCAACATGGAAAAACGCCCACGTGGGGGCGATATCGCCCCCATTGAGAAACACTGGTTTAGAGGGAACAGCAAGAGAACTTTGAATCTGCAAAGATGGAGACTTCTTTCTTCATCATTCAAACATTCTCTCTTGATCTCTTCTACTAGTCTCTCTTCAGGAAAGTTTTTCCATCTACTTCTCACCTCTCTCTGATTACATTTCATGTATTTCTGGCTTTGATAATGATTAACAGAATCCAATTTCTTATTTTGAACAAGTATGTAATTGGTAATTTGCTGAGAAATTTGTGGTTCACATTCTTCACTTAATATAATTTTTAATTTGTTACTTTCCTGAAATTATATTAAAATAAATTCACTTAATCCAGCACAAGCTTATGTTATCTTATTCTTTTATTTAGCTTATATTTTATGCTGGATTAAGTGAAATTATTTTAATATAATTTTGGAAAAGTAATAAATTGAATGTAATAACTGGCATCCTCATTGAAAATAATTTTTTATATGTTATGTAAACTAATGGTTGTCTCACCTGTGCAAATTCCTCTGTGTTGTGTCAGAGCCAGTCTCACAATAATTAAATATTTTATATTAATTCATATTTTTCGATATAAATTTTACATTTACTTAAAGCAAAAATTATTTGTCATATATTTATTCATTTTTAAATACTGTCAGATTTGAAGTTGTTTATATTTTCAAGAATCTGAATTCCATCCCTTTAAAATTTTCATTATTTGTAATAAATACTATATTTATTACTTCTTTATTTGTTATTACTTTACCTTCAGTTAACCTTAATATTAGTAAGAATTATGATGATATATAGCCACTAGAGTAATAAAGTCATACAAACTCAGTCTATTGGAATTACTGTTCTTAGATAATTAATCAACATTTTTTATTTTAAGTAAAACATTATAAATTTAACTTTTGAAATATTTTGTCCTAATTTTGAAGATCCTTCCTGATTATGACTGTATATGTTTTAATTAAACACTAGAGCTTATTAAAAAGTGTTGGTTAACTATTTCTAAGAACATTAAAACCAATAGAATGAACATTTGCATTACTTAACTTGTAATAGTTTTGTACTCAATCAATCCTATTGACTAATTTTGAATCTTTAAAGCTTTTCATCAATCCCACTTAACTGATTTTAAAATATCATTATTATGATTAACAAATATATAGAATCTTCTTAATAGCTATATGTAATTTGCTATAAATTTTAAGGATTTATCACATCACAGTTTTCAATTGGAAAGCTCACTACGATTTTATTAAATCAGTATGTACATTTTGAGTCATATACTCTTCCTCAGTTGGTTATAATTCAAGTATTTTTCTATTTTCCAATTTGTATTTGACATTAAATTTTAATTTTTAATTTACAATCTGTATCCTTCGTCTAATTTCTCTGACATGTAATATCTATTCAGTTATTTTTGTAATTTAATGCTAAATACAAATTGGAAAATAGAAAAATTTTTGAATTATAACTGAGGAAGGGTATTTGGCTCAAAATGTACATATTGATTTAATAAAATCTCAGTGAGCTTTCCAATTAAAAAGTGTGGTGCAATAAGTGCTTAAAATTTATAGCAAATTACATATAGCTATTAAGAAGATTTATTGCAATATAGGACAAAAAGCAAATAATTATAAAATATATAGAAAACCATACCTGAATTATAATAATCAAATAATAAAGCTGGATAAACTATTGGGCTAAAACTTGATTAATTAATTATTTAGATATTATATAATTTAGACTAGGTCAAACTACAGTGTTTACCTTTAATGTACTAAGTGTTTACCTTTAAATACATGGTTATATCTCATAAATTAATTGGTTTCAAAGTAAAGATCAGACAGAGGTTCAAGTAATGTACAGTATAACCCCTCTAATCCGTCACCTTTGGGACTGGGGATATGGTCGGAACTCAAAAAAGGTCGGATTATCAGAAAAAAGTAAAATAAACAATCTTCTCCTTTGTCCAGTCTTTGTAGCACTGCTAATTTTTCATTTAATGAAAGAGTAACGTGTTTACGTTTCACTCCTGACATGTTGAAAACACACACAAAACTGTACATGTACACACAATGTAAAACATATACTGTAATGAACATAGAAAAACGCCACGGACGGTGAGTCACCGACGAGTCGGGATAAGTTTCTCGACTCCGACCACGGTCGGATTAACCGGAGTGACGGACTATCCGAGGGCAGACTAGAGGGGTTCTACTGTAATTGGCAACATGTCTGCATGATAAACAGAAATTGTCAATTCAAGCCCTACTCTGAATTAATCTTTTATTCCAGAATATTCTAAATTTATTTATTTTTAATTATTAAATGTGAGTCACGATGACAGCTTAACTACCTATCATTAGTCAAATTATGTAATATCTAAATATATGATTAATTGGCCACATTCTAGCACAAAGTTTATTTGGCTCTATGATTAAACGGTGGAGCATAGACTTTTATGTAGTTTTGTATTCTCTAAATCAGATGGTAGTTAACACAGGATGTTTCACCATTTAAATTTAAAATTTATAATAACAATGAGCTTAGAACAGTTGACAATCTAATTTGGCACTTTGAACTTTAAACTAATGACAGAGCTGAGGCAAGCTTGTAAAGTTGAAAATATTTGTTGGAAAAGTAAAACAATGCTGGAATAGTGAGTTAACATATTATTACTGTGGTGATGACATAAATTCCATACTGTAATAGTCACAGAAATTACACTAATCACTTTACTGTGGTAATAACAGATCATAATGTGTTACCAACCACAGTAAAGTAACTGTATGATACACATTTACGTTTTGCTATCCTTTAGTTCTCTTATATGAATTTAGATGTAAAAATTAAATTTTTAAAGATCATGTTTTAAATATGAAATATTATATTAAAAAAGCAGTATGATACTGATTAATAGTAATTGTGAAATGCAGCGTTACAAGGATCATTCTCTTCTCCCCTTACCACATTGTCACATTCTGAAGTATTCCTTCCCCATGAGGTGTAACATCATTTATGGACAGCTTCTAATGCAGATGTTTTATGATTAATTACTGAAAATAAAACTGCCTATGGCACATGAAATACCCTTTGTATTATTTCAGATCAGCAGCAATAGTCATAACCGTCTGAATATACTTTCCTTGTGAAGATGTTTAATGAAAGCAATGCCAATCCTGCAAGTGCACTTTGAGAGTTACAACACTTTAAGAAATTGCACTGAAGTCATTTTGCTGCTTATAGTACTGCAAATCCTATAGTGCTAAGTTGAGACTAAATTTTTCTTTGTGGAAATCTTTTCTTTATATTCAGAAACTTTAGTGTACAGAATATGTAGCAGTTCAAATTCAACCAAATCTCTCCAGACAGCATTGAATTATTATCACTCTGTGTCTACATTAGTGGTGTTCAATATTATTGAATAATTGACTATGGACGCAATAATTTCCAATATTGAAGTTGGAAAAATGAATGATGATTAATATTGTTTTTGCATTCAGTGTTACTGATATTGGAAATTAACAAAATTTAATATTTTATATTTTTCTTTTCATGTCCATTTACCAAGGATTAAATTTGTTTTCAGTATTGTACACACTGTAATTTTTTATTACAGCTTACTGATATTTGAAATTAACAATTAAAAGCTATTTAAAATAAATAAGAGTTGACAACTTTCAGAGTAATGAATTTTGAATAATATGAAAAATCACCAACTTCAAAAAAGTGATGAGTGAAAAAAAACCTTCTACAAACAAGTCTGGAAACATTTTTCCTTTCCTTTCCTTGAAGATAAGATAACTGTAAGGCTGAAGCTTTTAAGATATCAGCTTATTGTTCTAGAAACTGGGATCGAATCAGGTCAAACAACCTCCGGAAGTTTTCATGGCCGTTCTACTCTGGATATGTTGAATCCTGTCCCTTGTCATTCTGCAGTTTCCATGTTGGGCCAGGCTGAATTCACAATGGGTTTGATTAAAACAGGACACTTTTAGTGTCCACGGGAAGAAATTAAGCAAAAATGAAAAAAAAATTCAACCTACCGAGAATTAAAGTAATTTGGATTACAATATTAAAATAATGCTGTTTAGAGATTTTTTGTGGTTATTATTGATATAGAATTTTATTGATTACAGATTTTATGATATTGAACATACCTAGGATATATATATAATTTTTAATGTTTTGTAATTGTTATTTAGTTTTTTTTTATTATTTTTGATTCTTATTATGTAAACTTTGTTAGAATTTTTTTAAGCAATAAATTGCTTCTTAGTTATTACAGACAAAATTGAAGTTTCTGTCTCAGTTTAAGAAATATTTAACATTTGATCCTTTTGGAATTAATATCAAATAAATAAATTATTAAAACATATATACATAATTGAAATTTATTTACATCATTGATTATTTTTATATTTTGTGTAAGTTGTAATAGATGTTGTGTATGTAAAATCATTGTATTATTTTTAAATTTTGAAAAAATATATATAACTTTATAGTTTTGTAAAAAAGAAAAAAAAAAGGAAATTATTCTTAATTATTGGTTAATATCTTATATTGCAAAAATATAATTTTTTCTTATTGTGTAGATGGGATATCTGTTGAATTAGAATTTCAATTAAAACAAATAAATTTAATTCAAAATAGAAACACTAAAATGTAGATTACATTTTATAGTTCTCATATCATTTTATTATTTGAATTGGCTCTTAATTACATTTTTGATAATCCAAAAGAATAATTTACAGTTTTATTTTGTATTAAAGTAATACATTGATTGTAATTTGTTTTTGAATCAAAAGTAAGCTTTGCTAAAAGCAATAATAATTTTAATAAATTCATTATAAAATTATTGTTGTTATAATTATAAATTTTATTGTTTTACAAAATAACTTCATTACATTATTTATATAAAACTAAAATTTTTTTACAGCCTTACTGAAGAAAGAACCTATGAACGGGCTAGCGGACATTATTATGATAGGGTTTCAGAACGTGAATCTTACTTGAGGCGGTCCATGGGCATGGGATACCATGACGATGATAGTTACCAGGGTCGTGGGAAATCAAGAGACAGGTATCAGAAAACTTCAAATAATACTACAGTATACCAGGACGGATCTGATAGGTTGGGAATTATTTTATTGTGATTGCACAGAATTATTTTATTAAAAAAATTCACAGATTAAGCATTGCTTTAAGTTTTAAAATTTATTTATGTTAAAACATCATAATATATGATATATAAAAATCTAATTGTAAATTTAAATTTATGTTTGTATTCTTAAATTTTGTGAAGGNGGAAAATGCTAAAATTACATCATACATATATATATGTTTCTAACATTTTTTTTAGCATTTTCTATTTTATTCATGTGTAGAATATTAATGAAACAACTAAATATTGAATTCATTGAATTATAATTTTAAAGTTTTAGTTTTCTAAATGAGAAAATATTAAAAGAATTTAACTTGTTTAATCTTTAAAAAAGAAACTCAAATAATCTCTGTAAAAATTTAAGTATTTAAAAACTACTTTATTGGAAACCAACAAGAAATCACTTATACATTTTATCCCAAGTAATTCTCAGCTTCTTAGGCTCATCAGGAGCAACAAAAAGCATAAAATTAAAATAAAATTAAAACAAAACAAAAAGCATACATTCCATCAATTCAAAACCATTTTAAATTCTATAAAATTCTAAAACATTAAAGTGCAATTTATGCTTTAATTCCACAACTCTGATGTGGAAATTAGCACCTCCTTCTGAACTGTTTCCTTTTATCTAAAAATAATCTTTTCACTTTTAAAAGGATCTATTTTTGCTTCATTCCTATTCAATTTTCACAATTTTCTCACTCCTTTCTAAACTATATTGCCTCTTGTATTCTATATCATTTCTAAGGAAGAAAATATATCTTAGCTGAAAGATTATGGATTTTGAGAAAGTCTAGACTCTGAATCCAGATATGGGGTAGCATTATTGATGGTATAGAAATAGATAATGAAACAAGAATAGAGAAACAGGAAGAAATAAGAGTATAAGAGGCAATATAGTATAGAAAGGAATGAAAATTGAAAAAGAAATGAAGCAAGAATAGTTCTTTTTAGAATTGAAAAAGTTTAAACGAGTATTTTTAGGTAAAAGGTAATAATTCAGAAGATACCACTCAGTTTCAAATCAGTTAGTCTGCTTTAACATTTTAGAATTTGATAGAATTTAGAATGTTTTTGAATTGATGGGATATAGAATTGTATTTTTTTAGTTCTGATGATGAGCCTAAGAAGCTGAAAATTTTTGGATCTAAAATGTTAAAGTAATATTTTGTTGGTTTTCTAACAAAGTAGTTTTTGAAAACTTGAATTTTTCAGTAAGAAAAATTTATGGGAAAAAACTGAATTATTAGCATTTATAATGCTGAAATTGTTTTTGCATATTGATAATGTTTTGCTTTATTAGAAGGAACAAAAGAGAGTTTTCATCAAAATTTACTTTATGGATATAAAAAAAAAATTAGTCGTTTTATAAATTAATGCTCTGAAGAGCATAATAAATGGAACATTAAGATATAAAAGATGAAAACCAAATAAAGAATGATGATTAAATATTAGAAGCTAACAAAGTATAAACCATTTTTTATATTTTAAAATATTTATTTTAATGTTTATTTAAAGTTCAACAACAACAAAACATTTTTTAAAAAGTTAAATTATAGAAATAAAAAGGAAATTTTTGAAGCAAATTGTTTATAATTCAATTATCTAATAAAAATGAGTATTAATGTGTAAAATCATTAAGACATTCTAACATTTAATGTTAGAATATGGTTTTATCATTTTAGTTTGAGGAATAAGTAAAGATCAGTCTTTGTTTCAATAAAATAACAAGATTTTATTTTAAAGAAACAAAGATTTTCTATTTTTTAAACATCTACCTCACATTAATTTATAAAAATATATATATTTAAACATACAAAATAAGTATTGTAATTTCATATGGATGACCTGCACTGGTGTATATCCTGCAAATTACTAGAATGGAAATAAAATACTTGCATAGCCTGCACCACCATATACCCTTCATCTCCAGGTGACATAGAAGACATGACACTTATTGGTATTTATCTTATGGGGCGTTTCTCATTTATTCTGTTTTCTCCCCTATTTCATTTGTTTCATTAAAGCCAAACAATTGCTGAATTAGATCTTAGAGATGTTCTAGGTACCATCTCTTGTTAAATTTAATAAGAGATGGCATTGATTGTCTACCTCTAGGCCAATCTAGCAATCTCTAGGCAAATTACTTAGCATTTAATTAATAGTAGCAGTAATATAGCCCAATCTAATCAGGTAATCATTTGGCTTTACTATAACTATAGGGCTTATAGGTTTATATTTGCATTCATTTGTTTTGTATTTATAAATGGTTCTTTTTAGCTGTAATTATAAAATAAGTGAAATGGAAAAAATGGAATGTTTGAGATGGCATTTTTAAATTGAATGAGTGTTGGAAACAAAAATTACCATCAGACATCAAATTTCTTGTATTGTTTTGGTTTATTTCTATTTTATTTATCAAATAATAGTAATAATAATATAAATACTAAAATAGTCTGAAAAAATTAAACATGATTTTAATGTTGATAATATCTGTTGATTCCTGATAATCGATTTTAAGAGCCAATTGAAATGACTATGGGTTGGCAGCATGGTCAGTGTGGCTCTTGATGAGAATGATCACCTTTGAACAAGCAGTAATTAATAGTTGCCATTAAGATTTTGCTATGAAATCTGTACACAGCTTCTACAATAGCTAATAATACACATTCCAGAGCAGTGTTTTTCAATCTTTTTTTTTTATCTCATAGTACACACAAACCTATAATTAAATTTTTGTGGCACACTTAAATTATAATGATTAATAAATAATTAAAAAGAAAGATTTCATTTTTCATAATTTATTTATTAACACAAAACAATTTATTATAATTTCTAATAAATAAATAAGACTTTTTAATTAATAAGAATTTTAATTATCTATTTTTTATTTTATAAACATTAAGTGAACATTTATCTGAGCTTTACATGTTTTTAGAATATAATTTTGCTTACATAATGTAGTAAAATGTTTATTTATTATAACAATGAAAAACTAGTATAATCAATTTAAAGAGGTTTTAATTTTATGTGTATACTTATTGTTCTTTGGGCTTCTTTGAAAAAATAATTTATTTAATAACTTTCAAAAATTTTAACAGCACACCAGTTGAAAATCATTGTTCTAAAGTCAATTACTTTTATTCACTATAAAAAACTAACATCAGTGTTTGGCTTCTAAATAGTTTTCTGAATCATTATAGTGAGCATTACTGGAAATGTATTAGCTTTTAAGTTACAAATAGAAATGTCTAATAATAATAGTAATAATTAAAATGTAAATAAACATATAGAAAATGAATGGGAAAGGACTAAAGGAAAAGTATACATATATATATATTTGATGGTATAGGACAAATTACAATGGTAGATGAATGTCTGTGTGTGCATAAAAGGTTTCTTTTGTTTTTAAAGATATTCTTTATAAGTTTAGATAAAGTAAAAGCTAAGAATTCTAGAGAAGCCAGTCTATTAAAAGTAATTGAAATGTAATATGTTTCAAAAAATATTTATCTTCAGATCCATCTGAACTAGATATTCAGAAAAGAATTTATTAAAAGGTTATTTGAATTACATCATTCCAAATGCATGATGCATTCAAAAATATATCAATGAGCAAAATAATGAGGAAAAGCTGTTGAGTGAGTTTAAAATTTTGAGTTAAAGCAAATAACCTGCATCATCATATAACCCATACCTGCTTTTAATTTAAGTTTTGAACTTAGATAACCTGTGGGATATTCATATGAAATTGTGGTAATTAAATACAGTAGATTCAAATAATTTTTACATTATGAACATTTGGACAGGATTTATGCAAGTTACATTCATATAATTCATTTATGAACAAAGATTTATATAAATTAAGACCAATTACTTGATGGAAATACAGTTGACTTGTCTTAAAACAAGCATTTATAAAGTACATCCTTGTGTTAAAGCAAATATTGCCATTGCCTCAGCAAAATGCCATTGTCACAATGTTAATTTTCACATGATAAAATGAACAATTTTACCAGAATTCATTAAGCTGAACTGTACATTATCTTTACCATCCCCAAGAAATAATCCTGTTTCCAATAATAATTTTATTATTCATGTTGAAAAGCGTAAAAAGCAAAGTGGTAGTGTAATAAATGTTTTATTTTGAGTAGCATAATTTTATTCTCCTAGGAAGCAAAGACGAGTTCAACCTCCAACTGTAGAGCAAATATCTGGTTTTAGCTGACCATTCTATTGTACTCAGAAAATAGGGATTAAAGTTTAAGGGTGCCAACCCATTTAAATGGATGTGATCCCATGCAAACATGTGCTAGTTTGCATATGGGGGTGCATACAGTAATGCCATTTGGCTGCTTTTTTACTCTTTTAGCACCAAAAAATAATTTTTACTTTTTCAAACAATTTTCAACAGAAAAAAAAATCACAGATTTCTTTTAGCTTTGTTTTGATTAATTAACCACTCTGATATACTGCTCCTCACTTAAATGGCAAATACCATCATCTCCATTTTGTTTGATTTGAAAATAATTTAGATCAATTAATTTTTGTAAATAAATTTAATTTAATTTAACTTTTAGTAAATTAATTAAATATTATAATTTAGAGATTTTGATTGTCTATTAATTCTTAACCCTTTAAATTATACAACCCTGACCTTGACCCTAAAATCGTTAACACAAATTTTCAATAAAGCGAACTAACTGCTGTTCCCCTAGTGATTTGTATTAATGCGAGTTGACCATATATTAAAACTTAGAGGATACATTTCACAAATGCATGAATTGTCATCAGTGTGACAGTTTTTAGATTTACATATTCTTTTAATTTTAATTTATCTATATTTATTAATTTATGTAACAAAGGTGAACTTAAATAAATTTATAATAAAAATCTACATATATGCATAAAAAATTATTTTCATAAAGAATATAGCGACACGTTATTTTTATTACACAATAAAACAAAAT